AGTGGTCATTATTAATTGAGAGAATATATTTTAACCTTTTGATTCAGAATTGCTTTAACTGCCTTCTCCACCTCAAACAGATCACTGATGTCCACAGTCCAGACGTGTGGTTTCCCAATGTAAACTTCAGCATAGGGATGCTGAGAGGTCAACTGAAAAAGAAAAAAGTCAATACCAGAATAAGTCAAATGAAAAATATCCATATTTCAGATTTTCTGTACATCTCTTGTTAACAGTTCTGGGTGAAACCAGAACTTGTTAAATGTTCTGGGCTGATAATTATGGAGACTGAAGTCCTCTAACTTGCCCAGATAATAGGTCAGCATAGGCAACAGAAGGAGAAGCTTCCCTACTGTCTCTCTCATGTACTTCTGCTTTTTCTCTATACCCTTCTCTCTATCTGATATCATCAACTTGCTTGAGAACAGCTAACATCTTCTTTACTACCCACAGCCCTTCATGTTATCTCTTTATTTTTCTCTGCATCAGATATCTCTACTAGGTCATCCTATCCACCCAGGCTGAAAGGTCATTATCTTTTCATCCAAACCCTCTTGTCCAACATTTTCTCACAAAAATTAGATTTGAGATTATGACTTTTTCCATGTTTGATTCTGATTCCCCTATGCTCAGACTGATAACAAAGAAAATTCGACCTCACTGCAATGATGTTTTTGGACCTGCACACTTTAGGAATTAAGCTATCAAACTTTTTTTGCACAAATCCAACAGACCTCAATTCTAACTTTTTAGTCTAGGATAGAAGAAAAATGTTCTACATTCTACCAGTAGTTCCCCAGATCCAACCATCTGTGCCCAAAACTTCTGAATTCCTATGAATATAGCACAATAATACTTTACTTCTATCACCCAGGATGAACTGTGACTCTCTCCTGACAGCAAGATACTAGATGTCACCTCCAGCATGCCTTTAAAAGTTAACTGACATTTTGTTCATTGCTTTGCTCGATAATATTTACAATAGGTGAAAAAAATCATCAGTTAAACCAATCCAGAAGAAATAAAGGTGAATGCATTTGACCAGGCCATAGTTGGCACAGCAGCATTGAAAGGAAGTGGGAAAAACAACAAGCATACAAAACTGCGAGCATGTATTTACACTCATGCTGCTTCATGCATTGGGATTTCACTCTTTTGCTTCTTTTACTGAATAAAGCAACCAATCTGCATTTACTTAGAAACTTTTCCTCTTGAACCTAGTACCCATTATACCTGCTTTTTCCTGGCTGAAACCAAAAAAAGCCAGGAAATACAAGCAGACCATTTTCCACAAAAATATTTACCTGGCGCTCCCTATTTCTAGACACAGGAATGTGGTAAACATGGGCAGCTCAACCCGCATGCCAAGGTCAATCATCTGATGAGCTCTATGTAGGCTGACACCTCTGCCTGCACAGGGCCAAGAGGAATCCATGCAAAACCCATTGGAGAACTGAAGCTTTGTTATCATTTATTTGGAAGATTTCTGAGGGAGACGTGCTTTCTCTGACTAGCTAAATCCTAGTGCACCATCTTCTAATTTTCTCCTGTAAACCCAATTCCCCCATAACACTTACATATTCACACTAACCTCAGTTTTATGACATTAACTTTATCCTTAACAATTACACTATTTAAAAAAAAACAATCGGAGTATCAAGATTTCTCTTTTTTTCAGAGCACAGGTGTCTTAACGAAGCAGTACGCACTCTTTTATAAATCCACTGTAGGGCACTGAGCATAGTGGAAGCACTTAAGAAATAAGTATATGCATTTTATTCCCAAATCTTCAGGGAGTGTAGGTAAGGAAAATTACTGAACTTCAGAAAGCTTCAGGAGTTCATAGATTCATAGACTGTAGTCGGAAGGGACCCCAAAGGATCATTATGTCCGACACCCTGCCCCAGGCAGTAATAGGGCTGAGGTTAGACAACCCCAGCCAGGTGCCTATCTAGCCTCCTCTTGAAGACCTCCAAGTTAGGTGATAGTACCACCTCTCTTGGCAGCCCGCTTCAGATTCTGGCCACCCTTACTGTGAAAAATTTCTTCCCATCTAACCTGAGTCTACTCTCCACTAGTTTGTGCCCATTATTCCTTGTTACTCATAGGGGTGCCCTGGTAAATAGCTCATCTCCAAGTCTCTGTTGTACTCCCTTGATAAATTTATAGGCTGCTACAAGGTCTCCCCTCAGCCATCTCTTGTGAAGGTTGAAGAGATCCAGATCCCTCAACCTCCCCTTGTAGGGTCTTGCACAGAGGCCACTAATCATGCGAGTGGCCCTCCTCTGGACCCTCTCCAGATTCTCCACATCCCTCCTGAAGTGCGGCGCCCAGAACCGAACACAGTATTCCAGCTGCCGCCTGACCAGTGCCGCATAGAGGGGGAGGATCACTTCCCTTGGTCTGTTGGTCATGCATCCGCTAATGAATGATAAGGTGCGACTGGCTTTGTTATGCTGCCAGCTCACGTTCATCTTGGAGTCAGCTATGACTCCAAGATCCCTTTCAGTTGCTGAGCTGCTGAGGAGGTCATCCCCCAACCTATAGGTATGCAGGGGATTCCTCCTCTCTAGGTGGAACACCTTGCATTCATCTTTGTTGAAATGCATCCTGTTTCGTTCTGCCCATTGTTCCAACCTGTCCAGGTCAGCCTGTATCCACTCCCTGCCCTCCAGTGTGTTAACTTTGCCCCATAACTTGGTATCATCTGTGAACTTGGACAGGATGCTCTCCACACCTTCGTCCAAATCACTGATGAAGATATTAAATAACACCAGTCCAAGGAACGAACCCTGTGGGACACCACTGCCCACCTCCTTCCAGGTTGATAATGAACCATCCACCACCACTCTCTGGGTGCAGTCGCTAAGCCACTCTGCCACCCACCTGACTCTGTAAGCATCCACCCCACAGCCTGTTAGCTTCCTTATTAGAATAGGATGAGAAATTGTATTGAAGGCCTTCTTAAAAGTCCAGGTAGATAACATCTGCCTCAGCTCCTGTGTCAAGGCAGTGTGTTACCTGGTTGTAAAAGGCTATAAGGTTTGTCAGGCAGGATCTACCTGCGATGAACCTATGCTGGTTTTCTTTTAGTATCAATTCCCCTGCTGGGCCTTCACAAACGCGCTCTTCAATGATATTTTCCAGTGTTTTCCCAAGAACAGAGGTAAAACTGACTGGCCTAAAGTTACCCGGCTCATCCCTTCTCCCCTTCTTAAAAGTGGGCACCACATTGGCCCTTTTCCAGTCCTCAGGGACCTGGCCACAGCACCATGTGTGCCAGCGGCTCAACTATGGCACTGGCCAATTTCTTCAGCACCTGTGGATGGAGGTCATTCAGGCCTGCTGACTTGTACCCGTGGTCATCCAGCCCCTCCAAGAGCTTCTTAACTAGGTTAGCACTAACCACTGGCAGTCTAGTGGCTCCTGGACATCTATCTATGTTCAAATTGGGGGAATTGTCGTGGCCAGTACTTAGGAATACCGAAGCAAAGAACTTGTTGAAGAGCTCTACCCTTTTCTCTGTGTCGGCCACCAACTGTCCTGATTTGTCCTGCAGGGGCCCTATGCTACTCTGCACCTTCCTTTTGCTCACTATGTATCTGTAGGACTTTTTATTGTCCTTGATTGTTGTAGCTAGCCTAAGCTTCAGTCCTGCCTTGGCCTGCCTAACTGATTCCCTGCAACAGCATGCCAGGGAGGTATATTCCTCCTTGGTGGCTGCCCCCTGCTTCCACTGCCTATAAATCTCTTTCTTTGCCCCCAGTCTTTTCTGGAGTTCCCTGTTCAGCCAAGGGGGCTTTTTTGTCCCCTTGCCCCCTTTCCTGAGTAATGGAATATTCTCCTTTTGTGCCCAAAGGATCACTCCCTTGAGAAACTGCCAGCCCTCCTGGACCCCAATAAGCTTGATGCTCTTGAGTTCAGCCACCTCACTAGCCTTCTAAGTTTACTAAAGTTGGCCCTTCTCAAGTCTAACACTTTAGCATCACTGGATATTTTTCCCCACCCTTTGCTGGATTGTGAATTCGAGTTATGCTGAAGATCACTAGTCTTCCGCATCTCCCCAACAGGCAGCAGCACCATTAAGTCAGTCTAGTTTTGAAGAACTGAATAATGACATTTCTCAGACTAGAGGATGTTACGGTGCTCTGTTAACATTTTAAGATTGCCAGCCTGATCCTGAGATAGTCACTGGCCAAAGCTTAAGATTTTAGTCATCCATGGGACACTTCTGTTGTCTACAATTAGAGCTTGTTGAAAACTTGAAATTTTACACCTGTGAGAATTTCAGAACAGTTTGTTCCAGAATTAAAAAATAAATAAAAATCAATATTTTAACTATTTGGGTTTCAAAAAACTCAAAGACACATCAAAACGATACCACTCATCCCAACATTATATAAAGGCCGAGAATGGCAGTGTTTCACTAAAAGTACTCCTTGTTGCAGAAAGTTATAATTCTGCCAGGGAAGGGTTAAGTGGCTTCTGATGGCTTACTGGTTGCAGTACTTGAATAAAAGAGCAGCTGGAAGAGAGATAGCAAATCAAAACAAGTTCAGAACAGTTTTGAGCGAAGCCAAAAAACCAAACCTAGGAAGAAGGTTTAGGCTGACTCTTAAGTTCTTATTGTTCTTTTAATTATTCACAAAGAAAAGAGTAAAAAAGTCAAACTGTAAGAAGGTGAGGACTGAGTTTGGATGGTACAAACTTTATTCACAGAGCAGGCTGATAAAAAGTGCACAAAACCTCATTTACAAACCCTTTAAACACAGCAACCGATGTTCTTTTATTAAAATGAATATAGGTGCCTTGCTACATAACTAGTTGCCACTATTCAATACACAAGCTATCCCATCCTTCAAGCAGACCAACACTGCAATACGAAGTTGTGCTTATTTACATGTTTGCATAGGAATTCTCTTTTACATAAAAAAAAATAATCTGCAGTTGATTAGTACTATAAAGCACTTTTTCAGCAGCAATTCAGGATCACAAGCAAGAACGTTAATTAATGTCAAACTTAGGGGGAAATACAGTGTGCTACAGGCCTAACTTTATTCTTATATAAATGTGCTACTTTTAAACTCCTAGCAAGGATGAACACTATTTTTCAGTATATTCTTTCTTAGCAGCCAGTTTGTTTAACTTTCTACTTTCCAAGATATCCTGGCTGGTTTGGAAACGTGTGGTTTTCCCCTTCCTGTTCTCTTCCAAATCTGGTTTGGGACTCTGCACACATTTATCTTCAAATAAACACAGTTTGTTGTTATTACCAACAGGAGAGTTAAGGACAACTTTTAGCAGAATTTATCTGCAAATACAGTATAACTTTCATTTAACTTATGTGAATGGCAGCATACTTATTGCATACTGTTGCTCATTATCTCAAGGGAATAAAATGTATAGTGATATGGAAAACAATATCCTGTGCCATTAGGCAGAATGTCAGATCTTGAAGCAAAATTTCAACATATGCTCTGACAAAAGGAAAACAACAGAATGCACATATATGTAGATGTGTAGCTACACATTAGTAATATTTACTTGTACAACACAAGCACAGTCTTGTACTCAGAAAAAACCCCTGTATGTATTCTCACTACTTTCATGTTAGGCAAACAGTAAACTATGCATCTTACTTTGACTTTTGAAATATAGTATAAAAAAATCAATTTGCAATAAAAATAAATTTCTTTATGATCCTCAGAGAGCAGCTACAGAACAAAAAACTCTGCAATAGACATGTTTAAACCCCAATCCTTTGCCACGTCAGAACACTTGGTGTTCACATGCTTACCTCTCGAAGGGTTGGCTTGCCTTTGAAAAATTCTGTGTTTTTGCTGCTTTTTGGTGGGTTAAATTTTAGATTCAGAAAAGCACATCCATTAGCAATAGCCTCTAGAGGAGCAGGCCCTTCGTATGGAAATCCAAGGCCGACAAATAACTGTGGAATAGAAAACATACACTCCTTGTTATTTTTTCCTTGGAAGACAATCAAAAGTTCATTGTGATAATCTGATATAAGTGAACACAATTTTTCTTCAAAAAAATTACTAGGCTACAACATACAACCAGAGGATAGTTTTGAAAAGAATGAGGTAACCGTCTCTCATCCAACAAAGCTTTATTAAAAATTATCACATTAGCTTCATGCTGAATGTTGCTAAGGATTTGACTGCTTGCTCACTCTCCTCTGGAAAAAAGAGAATCGGAACGTCCTTTAAAACAAATCCAACAATGATTTTTCTGTAACGTGTTGGAGTTAGAACGATGGAAGTCCACTCTAAATTAAACAGATAGTTTTTCATGAAATTGATGGAACAACAGGCCCTTTCTGTTATGTTTTGGGAAAAAGTAATTTGTTGGTTTGGTTACCGTTCAACTGAAACTGGTGGGGTTCTCTGGTAAGACTAGTAGGTACAGGTTTTACAACAGTTACATCACTAAAGAGCTATGCTACTTTATTATTCTCCTCCCCCTCCCTTCAACTGACTAGTTTTGGCCTGAGTACTTTTACATTGGCAAATTGTATGATCTTTCTGATTCAAAACGACAGATGGCAGCAAACATCAGTTGAAGACACAAAACTAGTCAGCAAGGGTCCTGCAGTAACAAGTTGACAATCTAATGTAAACCGAAGGGGAAAAACCTACTTTTATTGCCAATTTTACAGCATGGCTATTCTGATAAAGAGAGCTCTTCTGCAGGAGGAAATCCAACTGGAAAATACTTAAGTTTTTAATAAAAAATGGAAGATTGCACAATGTTTATTTAAAACACAATTTCTTTCCTGGCCTTCACAACTGAGAAAAGTGAATTAAATGCAGGATTCTCTTATTTTAGTTAATTGAAGGCAAGTGTACAATGAGCTGCGTAAGGTGGTCTGACCTACAACAGCTGCTAGAAATTGCCAACCAACACTGCTGAATGGTTTCACACATGCCATGGGCTCAGCTTCTGTTTAGTTACAAAAAAAAAAGGACTAAGCTTCATAGCTATTGGGATTATACAGTCAGAACATGACAGCTTCCATTTAGTAAACTGAAGTCCTTTCCATAAAGAAACTGTATTGCAAGGAAAAATAAACTCATATTAAAAAAATGAAAGTGGTGACAGTTTCTTTCAACAGCTTAGTTCAGGTTACATGCAAAAACAATTAAAGTAAAGTTACAGCCAATACATCTGTATAATCAGCCCTGATGTATACAGGTGCACACATGCCTGGCATTAGTAGATTAACATTTCGAGCTGACTGGCTCTAAAGAGAACGCCCTTCACCAAACCTGAGAATATTTCGTTCGTGTGTAATGTAAGTGAAAACGAGGTATCTGGATTAAAAACAATATTTCCCCTCAAAACCTTCAATGTCATAGCAAGAAATTCTTCTTTAAGTATTTAGTAAAAATTAAGTATTGAAACAATCTTGTTTGTTCTAAGAAGCAACTGTGGAAAAAAGTAGAATTGGAGAAATTCTCAACTAGACTGGTGGCTCCCAGGCTTTTTAGACTCAAGGCTGGTAGCATAACTAAGGAGGTCAGCAGGGGCTGCAGCCCTAGGTGCCCATTTGGGAGAACAACGGGGTGCAAAAACAACAGCTGCTGTCGTGGCTGTGTGATTATCCAGCGTGCAGTGCTGCCCTCTTGAGCTTCTGCTCAAGGCCCTGCTTGGAAAATGCAACCTCTTAGTTTTATTCATTTTTTTGACTATGGAAAAATAATAGAGCAGCAATGTTGCAAAGGATTCAGAAAGACCACAACAGGTCAGGATGTTTGTGACGCCATGGGTTCCTATCTGAAATCTTTGTTTGTCTTGTGAAGTACATGTAGGCATTTACACACTTAATAATGCTAATATTGCATGGGACCCTTAAAAAGATCTTGTGACGCTCTGGTTGAAAATAAATAAACCAGGCCAAGGATGCTCAACCCCCCACCACATGTAGTCTGGCCCAAGGTGGCTCTGCTCCCCTACAGCCAAACTTCTGGATGCCTGGAGAGCCCTATGGGCCTTACAGCATGGCCCTACATGCAGGGCCCGATCCAGGTGTGGGGCCCCATCCCCAATACTGGTGGGTGGGGACAACATGGGGCCCAACTTCAGCATGCAAGGCTGGACGGTGGTGAAGCAGGGTCCCAGGGCCTTATCCCTGTGTGCTGGGTGGTGGTGTTGAGGGGCCTACATGGGGCCCTGATCCTGACACACGGGGCCAGGCTGGGGCAGCACAGGGCACTGATCCTAGCCGACAGGGGTAGCATGGGGCCCTGGGGCTGATCCTGATGTGTGGGGCCCGATCTGGCTTGCAGACCTGCCCCACCCTCTCATCTGGCCTGCAGGGCCAAAAGGTTGAGCACTAATGAACTAGGCTAGACCAATCTGAACTGGTATTATATATCATGTAGCTTGCTATTTCCTTGCAGGTAGCAAATTTTCATGTTAAATTTAATCTCAAAAGATGTCTAATACTCAGAAAATTAGTTTCTGGAAAATAGGAACCTCTGGACATGAAAACACATTCATCAAGTACCACGCAGAAAACAAAAATAACAGAAGCACACTTGATAATTTAACGAAACCTAGTTAAATCAAATAATCATGGTTAAACCATTAACTCAGAGGATTTGCAGTGTTGCTAACAATTCCATCGTGACCTGGTTTTCTTTGGTAGCTCTCTCTTGCATGATAAAGAATTCTTCACCTTCTGCCATAAATTACTGCCATCCGCTGCTGCACAGTTTTGTGTCTGTTCTGTATTACCTGTTTATTTAGGGGAAGCTCCTTGGGGAAGGGAATATGTCTCTGTTTTGACAGCACTGAATACATTGTCAGCACTTAATAATCTGAATGCTGCCACCTGTTCTGCAGCCATTTTAAACACTTATGGAACTCAAAGATAATGTTTTGAAAACACATCTGCGGAGCATTTACACTCTGTGCATCACACATGGAGTGCCCGGATTAAGTGAGAGGATCCAAAAGAGTGAAGTCAATGTGCTCTCAGTTTGCACCAGATAGAAAGAGTTTGGCACAGTTCTTGGTGCTGTGCATCTATTGTACAACCCACATATCCACCTCGAGCCCAGCACCTCTTCTGGCACTATGCGTCTCCCTGCTCCAGTTGCCTAGAACCTGAAGCAGTGCTGCTTTCCTTGAGCTGCCCTCACAGCCCTCCCATGTGTTACAGAGTTTGAGCTGGATTGCACCCTTCCTTGGCTGTGCCACACATGGGCTCTCAGTGTGGGGTCTAGCCAGAGCCCCCAGTTTCATGTGAGGTCCAACTTGCACAGAAGAACGAGAAGTTTCTGGCTCATGGTTCACTTATTCAAAGGGACAGACATAACCCATTGCACAATTCTGTATAACAGCATTGGTCATTACTTGGTATCCAGGGGCAAACAAAATTTAGACAAAAGTAATGAGCTATATATGTAATTCCCTGCCATTTCCTCATGATTCAGGAGCATTTTTTGGGTTACTAGTAGATACAGAGGCGAGGAGAGTGTGGTTAGGCCCCTCTGTCTGTGCTGCATGTGCAGTGAGCCTTGGTCAGCTGAGGCTCCAGCTGGAGCTCAGTGTGCAGAATTGGCTCTGAGCTCGCCAGGTAATCAAAGTGGGGTCTGCCAGAGCCCCTGCTGTCCTATGGATCTAGAGCCCAGCAGACAGATGCTGCTGTTCTCCCTCCCCGCTGAATTCAGCAATAGGGGAAAGGAGGGGACAAGCAGTGGTAGCAGTGCTCACCTCCTAGGCTCTGGAGCCACATGAAACTAGGGGCTCTGGCTAGACCCTACACTGAGAGCTGACATGTGGCACAGCCAAAGAAGGGTGCAATTCAGTTGCTGCACCCCTTGATTCTGCCCCTGGTCAGGGCCCTTGGGTCCTACAGCCAGTGGATGGCCTTTTGCGGTCCTTCTAGCTCTATTTACTTTCTCTATCCTAATGGATCTGCCTGTTAAGCCACCTCTACAAGCCCCACTCACTACAACAGCTCGTCTCCCTGCTCCCCTCTGCTTTCCAACGTGCCATGTGCACCTTTGTGAGTCTCCTAGCAACACCCCGGTTTCTTTGTTGTTCTTTTGTTAGTTTTCCATTGCTCCAACTACCAACCCCAGGGAGAGATATTTGGAGCAAACTGGTTCTCCTAGGTTTCAGATAACCCACTGTGCCACAGCGTTTCCACCAGAACAAAGACTTAAGATTTAACGACTGACTATTGTTCCTGGTCTGGCAGGGATGTGACATGACATAATCACCGGGATTCCACATTTGCATCCCAAGATGTAATTTTGGCTCAGAACAAGTTCTTCCTAATTCCAACCTGAATTTATACACTGCATCTCACCGTGTTTCTTCCATGTAAATTACAAGTATGAAAGCAACTATGGCAGGGGATTAATAGCAAAATTAAAAATATAAATATTTTAAATTAATTCTGAAAATCACATGTGCTGTGCTTTAAAAGCCTAACACAAGGGAATATTACAGAGTTCCACTAACTCATTCTCACGCTATTCTAATTTACAAATCCTTTCAATTACAGGCAGCTTATTATTTCTGGAAAGCCTAAGACAA